ATGAGCGAGTTACTGAGAGTTGAAAGGAGGGAGATGTGAACCTCATCCCAGGATATTCTCTACACTACTGGTTAAAGCAGTCTTCTGGAAGAGCTCACTCCACATGCAGGATAAGAGTGCTAATGTCAGCTGGGAGTACTAAATGGAATTTGGGCTAAATTCAGAGCTACTCATGGATGTTAGGTGTGGGAATGGCCTCTCTGGGGATGAATGTACGCATTTCTTTCTCAGTTACAACTTAAAGAGTTCAGTTTGGGATACTTTTAAGTATCTGGGGGATGGGGTCTATATAGAAAATTTTGAAGTCCAGTATGGAGAATCTAGTAAATTTCAGCTCTTCCATGGATATTAGGTGACCTGAATAACTCTCTTGGATTTTAGACACTGTGCAGACTGGAACTATTACAAAACTGACAAAAAAACCAATGAGCAGAAATAGGCTTTTACAACTGAAACATGTTTTTTGCCCTCTCATCTTCAAGACATGCACATTTGGGAAAGTAAAGAAGGCAGTTTCCCTGCTTATAATCACTCAATTTTAAATGAGGGAGTAAATTTGTGTAGGTTGGATTCAACTCCTTAAGATATTTGATACATTTTCTGTATGTTTGTGCAGTTTTCCTTTTGTGAATGAAATTATCCATATATATCCAGATACTATAGTCCATGTTCCTTGTTTCATAGATTCACCACCAACTGCCTGGTAATGTATCATGCAGTGAAAGTCAGGTATTCAGCTGCAATTTCTTTTCAGCAAACTCATTAGCTGACTTTTCTAGACAGTCGCTGCTTGTCATTATTTGTGACAAGGGAGTTTTGAAAACTGTTCTGTGAGCTAGTGGTAGAAAGTACTTCCAATGTACATTAAAAGTACCTCCTCATTTGTTTTAGAAAGAAAATCCTGGCAATAGCTCAGCTGAAATTTAATAACTGCCTGGTTTCACTGCTGCTGCTGGTCTCATCCAAAGTCTATGATAAATGCTTATATTTTTTCTGTGATTGGTCTCAAATTTGTGATTGTTTGCATTAACTATTCTTCTTTGTACAGAATTATGTACAGTAATGATACAGATGTGCAGATGATAACAAGCTCCTATGACTTGGTAATTTTTTTTTTAACTGTAGATGCAGAGAACATTTTATTTACTTACCACCCCATTTCAGGTGTTCACCTGAGTTATGTCTCACTGGGGGCAGGCAGGTTTTGAGTTTATGCAATTGTATGTTAAATCAACATTCTTCTTTTCTTGTGATGTGGATTCAGAGAGATTTTCCTTTTAATTCCATAATGATTAGATTATCCAGTGCACTGCTCTTTTTTTCACGGTGGTAGATTTTGTAATGTCAGCTGAGATTATATTCCTTTGGCACACCTACATTTGCATACACATAAGGGACTGAAGGTGCCCGTTATTTTCAGCTAGCAAGTAATCTTGTTCCCACTTAACTTGAAATACATTGTTCTCTGTATCCTAATTTTGGCCTTTACAGTTACCTGCTTAATTGCTTTTGGATTACTCTGCGCCGTGTTTTAATACATTATATTTAAAATCCACAAGATAAAACATCACCATAAATAGATGTATAGATATAGTCACAATGGAAACATCATGGCAGCTGTAGAGGTTGACATGATTTACCACCTGTCAGGAGTATGTCATCATTGGCACAGTGGACAGTGTGGTGCTGCTCTGCTGGTAAAAGCTCTGTCTTTCCTCTCATCCTACCAGGCTCTCAGACTACCCAGGGCTGAATAGAAAGGCTGTACCAAAACTTTTCTGCACTCACTGGAACGGTGGCAGAACTCTCCACAGACAGGGTCTTGTGATAATATCACTGCAGCAGCAACCCATTCTTAGAAGGGGAAAAGATTTATGAAGGCTCATGCTGCATTCTTCATTTTTTTAACCCTTGAGCTGCTGGACAATTATGCCAGTTATTTCCTTGCAAAGCAATGGCAAATCACTCCTTCCTGTGGGAACAGCAACTTCTTCTGAGATTCATACACCTCTTGAGTTAGTAATTTCCTTTCATCTCTAGCCCAAGATTGTACAAGGTGGTAATGGTGATATGACAGGAATTGTCTTTCTTGGCTGGAACAACACCCATGGTAGTGTATGATAATTGCAGACAGTTGCTCTTTGCAGTGGCTGAATGTCTTGGTAAGAAGTTAATGTAATGCAAATGAAAAAACGTAGTTATCTCTTATCTCTTAAAATAATTTATCTCTTTGGGAAGGTTTTATCACATACAACTGTGAATGCTCCTTTCATCTTGCACTAGGGTTGTTTCTTTCAGTCCTTTTCCATGTCATAAGATAATCAAAATAGACCTTTATACACTTACAATATGAAGCACTTCACAAGAAGCCACCACAGAGTATTTCCATTTATATGACATTGGAAAACCTGCTTCTGAAGATTAAGCATTAGTTAAAATATTTAGGTTGCATTAAACAATGTGGTGTACATTTGGTTCTATCAGATCAGAATACACCCTGTAAATCCCTAGACCTGGAAGGTCTCTGTGGAAGGACCATATGAGCTCTGCCATATTTTGACAGGATATAGCATATATAGAATAGTCTCCCACCTTCATCATGCTGACAACTTAGTTAAGGACTTGTAAAAAACACAGAATAACATTAGATGCAGCCAATTTGCAGTTCAGAAATATGTCAGATAAGGTGCTACACAGATATGAATCTATGTTTACTTGGTTAATATACACAAAGTCCTTATTTCCCTAGAAAGAAGTTTCAAAGTTTGTTGCAGAGGTGCATAAAAATGAAAGCAGAAATCTATAAATATACATGCATATGCTACTATATATTAATGTCTATAAATTATATGGGTTTTTCAGGAAGGAGCAGTGAATGGTACATCCCTGCATTTCTCAGTATAAGTGTACATCATTTCCATGCATGTTTCAAGAGATAAACTGAATTCTTGAAGGTGAATGATAAGGGAGTGGGGGTTGTGGAGGGCTGAGATAACGCCAGGAGTCACCTGCAGGGTACAGAAAGGGTGGAGCTACCAAACTTACTACGTCAGACCTCACAAAAATTGAATATTCAAGTGGTATCAGTATTACTTAATGTATTTGCAAGTGTCTCATGATCTCATAGATTTCTTTCTATCAGGGAATAATGGCTTACCATGATAAATATTCTTTCAGGAATGCATGTTATTAATCTGCCCCTTTAAGCACTGAAGTGTAGGCTGAGCCTTAACTGTGTGCTAAAGTCTTGATTTCACTGGGATTTAATCACAGGTTAAAGTGGTTTTCTGAGTTAGAGCCAGAAATATAGACAGTTTACAACTAAAGGACAGGAAGAAAACCTGTTTAGCTCCTAGACTGCTCTTGTCATTCATATATGCATGTTTAAAAATCAAATTTCATACAAATCTGGGCAGAATTAGAGCTTGGTAAGAGAAGGGAGTATATCAGAGCCTGCCTCTGAACTTAATTGAACTGAGAAGTCATCGAATTTGGAGAATTGCTTCAAACCCATCTCTTGCAAACATGATTTGGAATGACTGGAAGATGTTGGGATGATATCCAAAAGACTATTAGTAAAACAAAAGCTATTAGCATATATCATGATGTGCATCCTGGCAAACAGCTCAACAAAAATTCATATTGGTAAAGCCAGTGGGGTCTGGTCTGGGTTGCAAGTGTTCAGTATCACGATTTTAAATATTGGAAAGATTTACCAGGAATTGTGTAATGAACGATTTTCATAACAACAAAGTTTCTATATTGCAGAAGAGAATGTATTATTTTAATGCATAGATTTGATGGCATATAAAGATAATTTCTTGCACTTACTAAAAACATTTCTCTAATTTTGTGAAGGAGAAAACTGAGACACAGAGAGAGAAAGAAGGTGGTTTACCAAAGGTTTTAGAGCAGGCCAGAGCCAGGAGCCCAAGCAGAAGCCCATTTTTGGCTGGCTGGTTCTGCCATCTGTCCAGCAGCACCATGGTGCTCATCAGTGAACACTGGGAAACAGAAATCTTCAGATAGTATTAGCCAGCTTTTGCCATAGCCAAAAAAGGCCTTTTCTTATTCATATATAGACATTACTTTATCTGACTGGAAAAATGAAAATGGAAGAAAAAATTAAAGGGAAGTCCCTTCCATTTTCAAGATGAGAAACTGAAACATTATAGTAAAATTTATGCTACCAGAAACATTTATTCCTCTGTGATATTTTACTGTTTTCTTAAATGAGCAGCTTCACTCCATCTAGCCATAGTGATTCCCTCTTCATTCTTATGCAAAGAATCAGTTTAGACTGATTCAACTACTTCTACAGGCAGCCACCAAATGAATACATTGGATTTCACTGAGTTTGCAAATGCTGGTTAGGTCACAAGTTGCTCAGACAAAAAGGTTTTATAGTAAACATTGGTTATTTTCACTTCTCTTCCTTCTCACATGCAAGAGGAGTGAGAGTCATCCATTGACATTTATTTGTGAAATAGAGAGTTTTGTCTCTTCATATATCGTATAACAAATTAACCATGTTATTTCAGCTATGTGAATTTTTTTCACCCCATTTAATTATACTGTTTAAAATTATGTATGCTTATACTGGTATGAAGGTGTTTTGTACTGACACTGGTTTTACTTCTGCTAGAGAAAAATAAGTAATTCTTACACAGCTCCTAAACTGAAGATGTACAGCTTTAACTGTACTAATGTAGTTAGGTCAGCACAACTCTACTGTAAACAAGGTGTATATTGCACAGCTAAGGCTAGATTACTTGGGTTTGCACAAGCTCTGCCTACAGAATATGCACAACCAGTGTAACTAGTTGTGCTTTAATAAATACTAATAACACGTGTCTAATTACGACAGTTCATCTCGACATTTCCTGCCTGCCTCTCACAGAATGACTAAGCGCTTCTCTCTCACCACCGAGCCAATTGCTGCCTGCACACTATTATTAGGGGCAGTCCTGTATCATTTTCACAATTATAGGATATGTCATTTCATACTTGTGGACTGCCAACAAGAGAGCACTGTCCATCCAGAAGAAAAATACTGCCTGCAATCGCTTTCAAGGGCTGAAAGAGGCAAATGTTTACTCACAGGCACAGCTTTTCTGACCATGAATAGTCCCTGTGCTTTCAAAGGGATTAAGCCTGATAGTAAGTATTTGCAGAATCAATTCCTTGATTAGCATGCTCAAATGGTTAATTTTGCTCTTTACAAGCATGTTTGAAGGATGCTGAAGTAGTCTTATGATGGTAGACAGGCTGGTTAGGTCCTAGTTTGGAATTGCATTTCATTTTTTTAAAAAGCTTTGGCAAGAAAACCCCCACTGTCACACTTACTCCAAAGTGTGTATTGTGATGAATGTAGTGATCAGAATGTCACACAGACAAGTACTTCAGTAGAAATGTGCAAATAATCAGATGTGCAAGTAATCAAATTACAATGTTACAAAATCTCATTAAATAATGGGATCTAGAAACTATGGGTTAGATTTATTACTGAAGTGAGGAGATACCGTTCATGGAAATTGTAGGATAATTGAAAAAAATTGTAGGATATGTGGATTTTATAGAAATAAAATTTACATTTTTTTTTTCCTGCTTTTCCATCTCCTCTTTATGCAGCCAGCTCCTACTCTGTTTTTGCTCTGTGGTCTTGCTGTCATATTTTCCTGTCTACACCCTTTCCATAACTCAGTGCGGCATTAGATCCAAGAAATTTGCCTGCAACTACGAAATCTGTACTGTTTTTGAGTGCTCCTCTCAGCCAAAAATCAATTCCTCAACTTTGGCTCTTCTTATTTCACCCTACAATTAATCCTTTGTGGGTCACTAGGGAGTTTAGCCACAGAGGATCTCACTTTCTCTCTGGTAAGAGAAAATGCCCTTGAAGGTGCCTTGAGCCTTTTCCAAGGAGCTCGGGGAAGATAAATAACATGTCTGTGCTGCCCACATTGATCAGCTGCAAACTTTGCACCTACTTCTTATCTTCACTTGTCCACAAAGCCTGCCTGTCACTGTGCACATGCAAATGCTGCCTCAATAGCTGGCTCTGTGATTGAGAAATTCAGATATATGTGATAGCTGTACCCATACCTCAGTTTCACCTCTTTCCAAGCATGGTTGATGCCCCTCCACTCCAAAAAGTTGTCGAGACCCCCGCACTGAAGATGTGCTTGGTGTTCAGCACCTGAATCATGAGGAGTTCAGAGCAGAGCTGGAGAATTCCTTCCCTTGCCTGGCTGGCGATGTTGTGCCTGAAGACACCAGGACAGGGATGTCCTTTCTAACTGCCTCTTCACTGCTAACCCCCAGGTCCCTTTCCATGGTGCTGCTTTCCAGCATCTCATTCCCCAAGATGTCTGTCTATGTGGAGTTGCCCCATCCCAGGTGAAGAATCTAAAACTTTTCCTCATTCCGTTCATATGGTTGGTGATTTCTCAGTCCTCTCATTTCTTGAGGTCTCTCTGCAGGGCCTCTCTACCTTCAAGGGAGTCAACAGCTCTTCCCAAATTAATGTCATCTGAAAACTTAGTGTACTAGGGGTATATAAGGGTTTGCATAGCAAAAACAACTTAGAAAGAGATTATTTGGAGCAATATTCAAAGAATAAGACATGTCCCTCCTGACCAAGAATGCCACAAGCAGCAGCATACAATAGAATACTAGACTAGGAGCCCACCGCCTGAGTTCAAATCTTTCTGTTCTTGATCTGCTCAGCAGAGTGAAGAGGTCAGTGTTTCTCTTTGTTTCCCTTCCCACTGAAGTTCTTGGTTTCTCCTTTCTGTGTTTTGACCTTTTTGCCACCTTTGACTTTTATCTCTTTGGAGCCAGACCATCTTTCCCATAAAGTTTTGTAGACTGTGTCTCTGGGTCTTTGTGCGCGACTTCAGACACTGCCGCACTTATAATTTGGCAGGAAGGAAATTAATTTCTTTCTTAGGCAGGGAAATGATCCCAAATATATGTTAACATCTGAAACTTGAATTTCAACAAATGGCTGTTTGCTTCTGTGGCATCTACTTCAGCATGCCATTGACTTCACAAGACGTGTACTGGGGACTGGAGCTGTGCACATGCTGCAGACAGCTTTCCTTTGGCTGAAGACTACAGAAAGCTAGAATGGCATTAGCAGCTGCCTGAAGCCCAGGTTACAGCAAAGTATATCATGTTCACATCATCATTACATACCTTGGATTCCACTGTAAGCCTGAAGTCGGGGAGTGAGGAGAACTCTTTGGACCATAAATACATTAGCTCGGCGTGATGAACTATGTGAGTTTGTCCTTCAGTTAAGGGTAAAGAAGAAGCACTTTTATTCCACAGTCATATTCTTGAGGCTGCTATAGTGTAAATCAAGACAGGATTTTTTCTCTTGTCACAGAAAACTTGGAGACATTTCTGTCTGTAATATATACTACTGAAATTCTCAATATATGTATATATCTGAAGCAAAGTGTAAATCTTCATTAACAATCAAACTTAAATAATAATTTATGACTGTGCTCCCAGCTATGCCTGCAATAATAGTTCTTTATTATTCAATATGCATTTTGTAGAGTACTGGCAATTTTTTTAAAGGGGAATAGAAAAAAATTTCAAGAAACAAGTAAGAGATAATTATTAGAAACCCAGGGAAAAGAGAATTTTGGTTTTTATGATGTTTGGGCACTGTGGAGAGGAAATGGAACAAAGACATGGAGGATCAAAGATGAGGAAAAAAAAGTCATGATGCTTTTATGAGGGAAGGACTTGGTAGCAAAAGAAATGTTTCACCTTCCCTAATACTGAATTTTTCATATGGCCAAAATGAGCATAAGGAGAAAAATAAAGCCAGAGGTAGAAATCCATCTGACTGAGAATGGATCCAAGAGATTCTTCTGTTGTTGTTGTTGTTGTTGAAGTTCAGTACATAGTTAGAAGATACAGATTTTTAAAAATAATGCATATTTTAAAGTAATTGTATGCACAGCTACCAGAAGCAAGTCCAGCATAAACAGAAATGCTTCATTGCTTTCCCTAATAAGGAAAAAAAGGGCATAATATGATGTCTCTGATTGAAAATGTCCTCTTTTCTATCTCATTGGCTGTCAAAATCTAACAAACTTATTTGCATTCACTTGTCTCAAAATCTCTGATAATTTTGTCACTTGCAGCCAAGCCTCTGTGCCTTAAAACTCAACATTGTCAGATCATCCAATCAAAGTCTTGGCTTCACCATTAACTGTACAAAAATTGAGATTAAATAAACAAATTCTGAAAATAGGGCATTAGGGTGTTTATTTGTACTTGGAAATCATAGTTGTTTTTTATCTTACCAGAAAAATTGCCCCACAAAGCGATTTCTGACCCTTGATTCAGCACACTGCTTCGGCATCATTCCCAATCCCTGTTAATCCTGGGCATAAAAGCCACCCCAGGCTAGTGCGTGCTGCTGCAGAGCACTACACTATGGGTCAAAGGGACAGAGCTTTGACAACCTTTCTTTACTGCCTCTATCAAACAAACATTTTTGAGATGTTGAAAACATTTGAAGCTCATAGAAGACACCCTACCCCCACATGCAGAGTGTTTCCAGTGAGCAGCACGGGGCTGTGCAGGTTTCACCTGTGCATTAGCTCATCCGTGGGCAGTTCCAGCAAGGCTCAGAACACGAGGCCCCTCTAGCAGGGCTTGCAAAAGCTAATCCACAAAATGTTTCTGCTAACTGAGTCATGTGCTTGAACATGTGGAAATTAGAAACTAGCTGAACCTTTTTATCTAATTGCTAAATTGAGTTTTGAGTTTTGTGTATTTCAACTGAAAGTAGCAGAGGGGACCTTCCTACTGCACAATGTAGTTGGACTGTGTGTGGGATGAATGGGCAATTTAAAACAGGTATTTCTTTAGTGCATTTCTCTAATCGAGTATATTGAGTGTATTTCTTTTCTTTAATTCCCATACTGTATTTCTCTTGTATTTATATATGCATAAATGCATAAATATAATATATGTATATATGTATAAATATAAATTTATATATGTATAAATTTATATATGTATTTGTGCATGTTTCAGTGATGTTCAGGCATGAGAATCTTGAGGATATTTTTATACAAATGTATGAGCACACATATTAACAGAATGGAATGTTGGAAAAAAAGGAAATATTAATGGAATTTTTTTTCTGTAAATATAAGTAATTTACAGAAAGATCCTCTGTAAGTGTTATCAGTGTGTGCTACTGCAACTATTGCTATCAAATTAAGTAGGAACACTGCAGTAGCTCCTGAGGGCACTAGTCATAAATCTGTAAAACTGTAAAGTCTGTGATACTTGCTGCAAGAGTATCAGTGGCTCTGGAAAAATGTGTTCTGCTGGGGAATGGGGGAGGCCGCCAGAGCTAGCTGCTTGCTCTTTCTGCTTGATTAGATGCCCAGACCCTGGTGAGTACAGCTGGCCTTGTCAAATGCAACATGCCAAGGCCAAACATGGCTGAGCATGGAGAGCTGTTCTTAACTAGTGAAGTATGGCCCTAGTCCTGCAAGGACTGTCAGCACAAGCTTTCTGAGCTGTACAAGAGTATATGAGTAATGCCCAAGTCATCTAGCAATAGACACAGAGCTGGATTCAACATTTAGGAACCCACATGCAAGTTTTTTATCTGTTGACAAATCTCTAAAATTTGGGCAGGAATTACGGATTAAATGTGGAAACCCTTCTATAACAAAAAAAAAACCAAAAAACAAAAAAAAAACACCAAACAACGTATCCAACCAAACAACAACAACAACAAAAAGGCATTGAATATGCCTTTTTCATATTCAATACCTTTGAATATGGCCTTTGAATATATATGTCTGAAACAGAGCTACCCAGAGTCCTGCCAAAGCGCCTGCTAGGGCTCAAGCTGAAAGATCAGCCCAAGCACAGAGGAAACTACTCAGTGAAGCCCCATGCACTTTCCCAGTGGGTTATCACTGTGCTGCAGCATTATGAACTGTAGACAAAAATACCACCCTGCAGCAAGCATGCGATGAGTGAAGCAGCACAGTTATTGATGCAATCTTGGAAGTGCCAGCAGTGCCTGAGGTTTTCCTTTTGGTTTCTCTGTGCAGAATCCAGGTTTGAGAGATCGTGACATTTAATTCTGGAACTCCCCCAGTGATATTCAT